TAGTAAGCCTAATCTAATCATTATAAAAGATGAAGAACATAGTAAGCAAAATAGGCAACGAAAACGTATTGTGTGGTTGGAACATGAAATATACACGGAATTAAAAAGAAGAGTTTCATATCAAAAGATATGGAACATATAAAAATAGATCGAACGACTCTCACAGAAGCAATAGCAGAATAGAAGTCACGCAAATAGATGTAATATAGTGAACACTAAGGATTTCAAGAAGGGGGAGAATCATAAATTCAGAAATCAAGAAAAGGCACAATACTGAATGAAATACAAAGAAAGCATCATGAATGGATGCTCAAATTAACATTTACAGGAAGACAAAAGGGAGGAAGAAAAATAACCATACATGGAGGGGGTAAGATAGTCAATGAGCTTCCACAGCACTTAGCAAAGAACGAAGAAAAAAATTACAAGAATGAAAATTTTAAACAATTTTAAACATAAAATACAAACATATTAAGACAAGGACAGTAAATTCTATAAGGAACATTCCTCATTTTGGATGTTTTCAATTAAAATTACTTAGTATAAATATCTTATTACCTGTTTAGAACACTTTAAAAGATTAGGCCACTTTTTGTGGCTTATATACTCATAGTTACAAATTATATTATTATTAATAATGACTTACCTGTTTCGCATTTAACAAATTGATCAATAAATAAATGGCCCAGTGGTCATAAAATTTTCCGACTATTAAAAAAGCTGATAAAAGAAACCAGCATATAAATAGGTAGATATCTTAGGAGTCACCTAAATTTCCACTTCGATTGGATATTATTAAAGTAATTAAAAAACAATTTCGCTATAGAATCCTAAATAGTGCAGCAATTTATAAAAAAAAAACAAAAAAAAAATGAAAAGAAATAATAAGAAACATTACAAAAATATCTGCTAATAAATAGGCAATAAATTGTAGAACCAAAAGGAAAATCGTGAATAAATAATATTGTAACCAAAGTCAATATATTTTCGATACTCCCTGTATGTTTGGCTTATTAGTTTATGAAATTTGAAGTATTTTACAGTATTTAAAATTTTTTCAAAATAATTCGTAAATTAAAATCAATAGGTATCTCTAAAGCGAGTGATTGCTTATAGTTGCCATGAGAAAAAATGTAGTAGAATGCTCATTTGTAGGTTTTCAAGTTATTTGCTAATTATGATTTATTATAGTGCAGTAGATGTTTGAAGAATATATATACTTGGGACAAAAAATAATCCTAAATAGGGAAATTCAGACTGAAGAAATAAAAAGAAGAAGAAAGTTAGCTTGGGCAGCATTCGGTAAACTGAACTATATACTCAGAAATCAACAAATTCAATTACATCTTAGATCTAAAGTTTTTGATGCATGCATTATTCCGATATTAACTTCGGCACAAACATGGACAATCACAAAAAAGAATATGAATATACTTAGAGTCACTCAACACGCGATGGAAAGAGCAATGCTAGGTACATCACTTAAGGACAAGAAAACAAACACATGGATAAGACAGAAAACCAAAGTCACCGATGTGGTGCAAAAAGCATTAAAGCTGAAATGGGAATACGCTGGACATGTAGCTAGGAGCGATCTAAACAAATAACACAGATCAATTTTTAACCTGGAGACCATACCAACACAAAAGACCCAGAGGCAGACCTCCTATGAGATGGACAGATGATCTGAAAAGGACTGCCGGGAAAAATTGGCTACAAGTAGCGTACAATAAAAGACAATGGAAAGGAAGACTTGAAGAGGCTTATGTTCAGATGTGGACGTGAATGGCTAGACGAAGAAGAAGAAGAAGAAGCTGGTTGTGCTTGTAATTATAATTTGAAATATTTGTTTTGCTGCTTCGGTATCATATACCGTTAAAGTAGGACATATTGTTGTATTGTATAAAATTGTATTGTATAAAATTAGGAGCAAAAATTCAAATGGAATTTTAAATATTATTATTTATTTGGCTAAATAAATGTATATATATATATATATATATATATATATATATATATATATATATATATATATATATATATATATATACAAGGTTAAACTGCTGTACAATTATTTTGTAAATATCATTATACTAGTGTACTTACTGATTATTAAAATTTATAAATCATCATCATTGTCACTAAATTCACTACCGATATCATTATGTAACTCTATACTCACTGGATTAATTTCACTAATTTTATTTTCCCTGGTCCCACTCTTCTATTAATTTCATTACATTTCGAAATTTCCAGAACTCTAATTTGAAGGCATATTCCGAAAAATTGATATGCTAAACCAATTTTTTATGCTCGGTACGTTCCACGACTGTTTTAGTTGTTTCTCCAAAATCTCCGAATGGTAAGGTGCATTATGTAAAACTATAACTGATGGTTCACTCATACTAGGTAACAGTTTCGCCTTAACCCATTTAACAAACATATTTGCATCCCTGTTTTCATGGTAATCAGCAGATTTTGATTTTGAAGAAAAAATCAAACCTGCGTTTTCTATAAAACCTTCTTTCCTTCCTGCATTAAGAATGCTGTGTCATCATCATCATTGGTGCTACAGCCCTATAAAAGAACCTCGACCTTCCTCGACCTCGAGGTTTATTACGCCAGTCAGTTCTATCCATTGCCAACTGTTGCCAGTTTGCTGCGCCTATTTTTCTACCATCCTCATCTACACCATCCCTCCAACTGAGTTTTGGCCTACCTCTACTTCTAGGAAGAAGGGAGAAGGATTCTTCTAGGAGGGTTGTTCTGCTGTGATCTTGCCAGATGTCCTGCCCATCTTAGTCTTCCTATTTTTATAAGAAATACTACGTTTTTATCTATCTATCTGATTAGCCTTCTTCGGTCCATCTTTGTACATAGGCCTCCCCAATCCTTTTTCATTCTTCTCTGTCTGTCTCTGTCTACAGGCATCTACCTAGAGCCCACGTGCTTCTTGATATCAGCTGCCCATCTCATTCTCATTTGGGGCCTTCCTCTACTTCGTTTATATTCCCACGGTCTCCAACTTATAATAATTTTGTTCCATCGGTCTTCTTTTTATCTTGCAAATCTCCATTTCAATTTTGCAACCAAATATATGTTTATATCTGTGATATATCTCATAATTGTACTCTACTTCTCTCCTATTTCTCCAAATACCATTTTCACAGATGCCACTGAATACTCTCAGGATCCTTCGTTCAAATATAAGCATGAGGTTTTCATCAGAATGCTGTGTCTAGTCTTATTAAGTTCAGAAACTTGTCTTTCTCTTATTTTGGCTAGTAAAGTATCTAAACTGATATGTTGATTGTTTGCATGCATTCGATACAAATCAATGCTCCTAGAATGTTTACGAGTTGTTTTCTTGTCTTCGTGATACTCAGTCATAGTAAGATCTTCTTGAGAGTTTTTAGCTTACTTCCCCTTATCCCGAGTGTGCCAAAAACACGTTGATTTATACACAATAATGACTTTAAAGGTCCGCCATTGTCTCTTTCCATGGTAAGTATTTATGAACATTTGCATTTAATTCATCAATATCCAACGTCAATCATCAATATCATTACGTCTAGGCATGATGGTCACTTGAAACTACACGTTTGAATTACAATATACTGAGTTTAGATTAATACGACAGAAACTTTCTAACTGTTGTTCTTGAAAGATAAAATGATTGAGTGATTGAGAGTGATTTAAAAACATGTTTTGAAAATGTATATTAAAATATCCTAGGCAAGAAAAAAAAAATAAAAAACAGGAAAGGATTACGAATATGTAATCAGTAAATTAAAAATGTAGCAATTAAGAACATACATCATCAGTACTTAAAAAATACAAAACAAAGAAATTCGAAATGAAGCAAAAAGAAGTACAAAGCAAACATATGATGATGATGATGATGATGATGATATGATGATGATGATGATGATGATGATGATGATGATGATTGTTGAATTAGTAAGAAAATAATGCTTAATCAAATACACCTAGAAATTCATAGACATAGCACGAGTAAAAATTGAGATAGTAGGCAAATTTAAATTCACAAGTTCGTTCCAGTTTCATGATCATCACCTAATACCTATATGAACAAAGATCTAATAGTACAAAATAAATAATACTTGTCTTAAAGAGAAGCTGTGTTGTGCATTTGCATGGAGATCAAAATAGTCAGGTTTTATGATGAATTGGAAATGATAATTCTAATCAACGAATAGTTGCATCGCATTTTCGTGCTATAGAAGATGGTTTGTCTAGTCTCGTTGCTGAATTCCTCAGATATATCCTCCAATTTCAAAACTGGTGTTGTGTTTATAAGAGAAAACTAAAGACTGTAAAAGGTCCTACTGTACAGAAAATTATGGACAAAAAACAGGATTAAAGAGGACAACATATATGAGGAAACAAAACAGGAGCTTAAGGATTATCGAGGGAAAGAAATGCCTAGGAAGGAAAACACTAAAGTGGCTAAAAAATATCCGACAATGGACAGGGCTAAATTTTGGACAGCTAATAAGAACAGCTAAAGACAAAGAAGAGTTTGCAATTATAATAGCCAACCTACATTGGAAAAAGAGCACTTTAAGAAGAAGAATGATCAAGAAGAAAATACAGACAAAGTAATGGCATAAAATTTAAAATCCTCTGGTCACTGGTGCAAAATCAATCCTTAAGACATAAATGTATTCTGGTATAGGTAATATTATAAGTTGATAAAGAAAAAAACCTTGTGTAATCAGAAAATATTACAAAACTACTTGAATTACAAACATTTTAAAAATCTTAAAATATAAGACTGTACAACAAGGTTGGACCTCATAAATTTTAAGTTTTTTGAAAGTATTAACAATAAATAACTAAGCGGTAAAGCTGTGGGCTACGTGGGCACATAAAAAGTAACAGTCATCTAAAACTGCTATTTAAACGATGTAGGTAAAATTCTAGTTGGAACTAAAGCACATAAAACACATAATTTACCGTTTAAGAATATAACTAACCACAAACCTCGCCACACCACCTTCTTATTTGCAAAAATCAATTTGCGTACGAACATGATATTATGTATTTTCCACATCAAATTTGGTTTTAGCGGTAAATGTATCACTGCTGATAATGAACTGATAAAATAATAAAAATGTGCCAATAAAACATTCTGATTGACATATGTTGCATATGTCAATAAAAGTCTCTAAGCAGCCAATCAACAAAGTAAATACATAACAGACTCTTAAACAAAAATAAAAAATTATTCATTTTATCTCCTTCTCTATATTTGTTTTTGTTGATTACAAGTAGAACTTTGATAATATCGATTTATGAATAACACAATAATTACAATATAATATTTTGTACATGAACGAAAATAAAAAAAGGCTTTTCTGCATCAGAACGATGCATTAATTTACTTATTAATTTAAGTACGCACCATTACTTTGTTTACATACTTGTATACTAACCCATGGAACGTTATTACTGAAGATTTTTTTTATTACAATTGCTTCTGTTACTGCAACTACGTTGAGAACAAGAGACCATTATTATGCACTATCGCAATATAATATTACAGTTTCTATAAAAGTATTATAAAACTAAAAATATTCGAAAAAACAACAAACGTAAACAATCATACACGATCTGTCAAAACGATCATAACAATATGGCCGAAGTGAGGTCGTTTTTAGTCACGTGATGCCATTCTTATGATTCCATATGCTCAAATGTATGCCAATCTCGACATTCTTAAAATCATATATGATGTCACAATTAGTGACGCACTGAAAAGAGGGCCAGACTGTACATGATTTTTGTTCATAGTGATCTAAAAAACCTTAAAAAATGAACCTAATGGAGCGCGTATGGCAGGCGGACGCTCATTTGTACAATCAGAATTCAAATCAGCAAAAATTTGTGCCATAGATCTTGTTTTTCTCTCTTTTACCCGCCACAGCCCGAGCGCCCGTCCTGTCATAAGCGCTTCATTAACGATTAAATAACCATGTTTTAAAATTAAATAAGCCAAAAATACTTATCGTAAAATGATAGAACAAGGTTTGAACTTGAGTTTAGATCGTTGGTGAATTGAAAATAATATTTTTTAGCTGTGTTTTTGAGTCTTAAAAATCGTAATTTTGCGTTTTTTTTTTAGTTTTAAATTGTTTATAACTCGAAACGAACAAGTTTACAGAAAAGTTACAAGAGACCTACATATTTTGTTCAGAATGGTCATAAAAATTCAATTTGTCCGGGCCAAAAAAATTCATTGTTAAAATTTGTTTAAAGAAAATTGTTTAAAAAAATTGACACCTGGGCGAGCTCTTGTACCTGTATTTTGGGGTATCTTATTAAATTTAATAAGCAAAAAATCTGATGGGAATATTTCTCTGAATAAACCCCAGCTTTTCGTCATGTTATAAGCATACGTGTAGCATACATCACTCAGCGTAATCAGGTTAGTAGTGGGTCGGTCTTAAAAATAAGTTGATTGACCTGAATTACTGGGGAATTAAAAACTTACTAAAATATATGTGTTTTATCAAAATTTTTGGATTGCAGTTGCAGTGGCTGCAGTCGAGAGGTATACGGCCAATAAATACCTGAGTCGATTGGAATAGAGAATTAGTTTGGTGGTCACAGATACTCGCCAGTTTGGTTAAAAAAAATTAAATATTTTTTGTATAGGTAATACATATAAGAATCGACCAGTAGGAAAGTCGACTGTTATTTATAGTAATAAAGAAAAACAGAATTCATGAATTAATGACTTACCTTGTTCGCATAGTAATTTGTTTAGTAAATTTTATTCTAAACACTTATTTTAATCGCATAATAATTATTATGGAACAATTTTTTTCTCGTTAATAATCGTGACTTTACCATTTTATATTATAATATTTAGTATGTTTTTCTTTTTATCTCTCTGGTAAATTTGTTTATAAAAAATTTTTATTAAAAAGCAAAGTTATTCTATCATTTCAGATCGACGCATAATCTGAACACCTTACGTTAACATAAAATTATCGATACTAGCAATGCTATCAAAAATAGAATACGTCATTTACACAACTTTTTTTCAAAAAAATATTATATGAAAATCCCATGGACCTTTATTTATACGTCCATGGAAAATCCCTTTACCTTTTAGGAAAGAAAATAAATAAGTAGGTACTTAGTATTCTAGATGGAAGCGTATATAAGAAAGCATGAAAGTCCTTCCTTTCTTTATAAAATGTGTTCTTGTACAACAGGTCTCAGTCTACATTTAGGCATGAGGCAGTGATAAAGCAGAAAACAGACTCGGAAAGATAAAAAGGAACTCTTAATCAAATTTCTCATTTTACGAAGTGGATACACTGCATAGCAATACCTACCTTGAATGCAATGAAATATACACCACTGTATTTAACGATAGCAAATTTGTAGCAAGAAAATTGAGGCTATGACCTTGAGACCACGTTACTAATCAGGAGGTTTTATTACAAAAAGAAATAGAGCTAACAAAGATAGTGCAACCACTTCTGACTACTGGAGTTTCTAAAAGTAGTGTCCAAAGAATTATTAACGAAGGAAAGAGGGTTTCCGATTTTTCATCTCTCTCAGGCAGCTCGTGAAACATCTTTAAATCTACCAGAAAAAGAATCAATCAGCCAAAGACAAAAAAACACGTCGATGTTTATGAGGCAGAAGTAACACAGTTCAGTAAAATAATATACAAAATTTTGATCAAATTCAAAGACAAAACATAAAAAAAAACAACTTAAATGTAACTTAACCCAAGTACGCAAATAACAAAGAAAAACTACTAAAAAATAACTTAATACTGTTTATTGCCTCCCCTAGCATCTATAACTGCCTGTACACGTCGGCTCATGCTGTCTATGAGGTTGCGAATATCATCTTGCTATCATCTCCTCTACTTTTTAATATTTATAAGTCAGATGTACCAACTACCACCTCGCGCAAATTTATTTATGCCGATGACATGGCTTTGGGTGCCCAAGAAGAAGACATAAACATCGCCGAATCCACCATAGAAGCAGATCTAAACACTGTTAACAGATACTTTAAGAAATGGGGCCTACAACCAAACCCATCGAAAACTGAAGTAACAGCTTTCCACCTAAACAACAACAAGGCAAATTACAGACTAAACATAGAATGCGATGGAACCAGGCTAAAGCACAGTGCTAACCCAAAATACCTCGGCGTAACTCTACATCGTACCCTAACATTCAAAAAGCATTTGGAAAACACTTCAGCAAAAATTAAGACCCGCAAAAATATTATCCATAAGTTAGCAAATACATCATGGGGGTCGAATGCAGAGGTAATAAGAACGAGCGCGCTGTCCTTAATATATCCTACTGCAGAATATTGCGCTTCTGTCTGGCTAAACAGTCATCACACAAAAGTCATAGATACCCAGTTAAATCAAACAATGAGGCACATAACGGGAACTATAAAGCCCACACCAACCCAGTGGCTTCCAGTTTTAAGCAACATCGCTCCACCAGCAACAAGACGACTAGCCGCACTCAACACTCTAGTTCAAAATGCCAACAAAACCCAGAACTACCGATAAACACAGACATCGCTGAACTACACCAAAGGCAGTTAAGACTGAAATCCAGACATCCACCTACTAGAACTGCTACAAAATTGGCTGTTTTCACTACCGAAGAGCACTGGATGGGCAAATGGAATCCAGACATCAGAAATTCCAATCTGATAGAAAACCGACAATAAAACCAGACGGCTTTCCAATAATTCCCCGTCGTGAATGGTGCAACCTAAATAGAATACGAGTTGGTCATGGAATTTGTAGCAAATCGCTGAATCAATGGGGTATAAATGCCAGCCCGGAATGTGACAAATGCAGCGCCGCTGAACAAACAATTAACCACATCGTCTTCGAGTGTCCAGCCACCAAGTTCTTTGGCAGTTCTAAATTGTGGGTGGCAAATTAATTTGGCTCTAAAAAATTAACCAATGGATATTTTCACATGAAACAAAAAACTCAATTCTTAGGAGATATGATTGCAACCGAAAAATAAGGTTTTAAGAAAATTCGCAGGATGTTTCAGTTAGAATAATAAAACCACGTTTTAATTAACCCCATACAATAAGTCAAATACTTTGAATTTGGCCAAAATTTTCTCTGTTGCGTTTTTTTGCATCTGACTGTATTTTAATTTTACAAAAAATTAATTTTTTATTTTAAATCCATCTATACTGGTTATTTTTGCTTGATCTTATTATTTTTACTGCTTATTATTTTTATAATTGCTTTTCTGTACAATTATAAATAAAAATAGTAATATTAAGGATGTACATTGTAATTGTTTATAGATTACAGATTATAATTATAATATGCATCCTTAATATTACTATTTTTATTTATAATTATACAAAATTTATAACAATAAATTTATGTAAGATATATTTTTGCAATGATTTTGAGAAAAAATAATTATTGTAAAATTAATAGGCATAATTCAAGAAAAATGAACACGTATTGTTTAAAAAAAATTGATTTTTTGTAAAATTTTTTGTTAAAAGATGTTATTTGTTACTATAATATATAAATATTAAAGTTCTTTATTATTTTATAACATTTTCTACTAATAATAATTCGAGTAAAGTAAAATTTTGCAAAATCAATATTTATTTTAAATAATTTAAACAAATGACTCCATTACATAAACAACTCACAAATTAACTATATGCATTTTTATAAACTATGCCACGAGGTACCCCAAATTAAAAAAAAACATCAATTTTCGTTGATTAGAAACGGAAATATTGCGACTTTTATAAATTTGAATTTATAAATTCATTTTTCTTAATTTTTTAATGCTACGAGAAGAAGATAATGCTAATGACAATTATAGCAATATATACTTTTATATAATGTTTATTGATATTATTAGTTCAAATAATCTAGTACGAGTCAAATAAACATCACAAAAATAAAAAATGCTCTCACTAACAATGATATTTGCGTTTTCTGGTCGAAATAACAGGAATTAAAACCGTGCATCTTACTTAAAAAATAAAATTATTTCAAGGTATATATTTAGAAATTTATAACAGTTTCACTGGTGTATCAATTTGAAAAATATAAAAATACTTGATTCTAATATTAGAGGTAAA